AAAAAGGCAGTAGTTTGGAAGTACACTCCACACATCTCAGAACCATTTTGTTCAAATAAAAAAGCTTGGTCTAGAAAAAGTCACTCTAAATTTATGCAAGTAAGTAGCTTTTACATTTGGCTGCCAGGTGTGTGCCAGAGTACCTTATGGAAGCTTAGACTTGCAGGCTCCGGAGGGGTACTTCCTGTGGCTTTCTCCTCACCTTGTCACAAATCTCTAGCAGCCTGGACAGTAGATTCAAATTTTTCTCTTTATTAACATGGAGTAGAAAAAACCAAGAATAGGAACCTTTGGCATCAAAAATCAAAAGGAGGGGAGGGATATGTTTTATTTGATTCAAAGATAAAGTCCTGTTGCTTTAAAATAAGTCAGAAGAAACAAAAGTTGAGGTTCTCATAGAAACCAACTCCCCCTCCTTGCTCAGACGTAGTGTTTTTGCTTGATAGGTGCTGTCTGCACACTGCCACTGTGTTACATAAAAGCTTGAGCCACGTAGGAGCTTTCTTGTCCTTCAGAAGACCGTGGCGCTAGCTTTTGACCTCAGATACTTTGTTTTCTGTGAGTTTGTTAATGAAGGTATGACGGTGTTGTTTTGGTATGGATAATAAAGGGAAACCCAAGGGAAAAAATATTTGAAAGGCACAGATCTCTCCCATGCCCAGTTATTTTATTCTGCTAGTAGCTGACTGTGACATTATTGTGGCTGCTGCTTATAGCAATCCCCAGAAATGAACATGGGCATTGGGAAGCAGACAGCCTGCCATCTCCAGTCCTCTTCCCAAACACACCCCCAGAGACAGCCTGGCAGGGTGGTTTATGACCTCCTCTTTGGATGCCACAGGAAGGGAAAGGCCTCGTTAATCAGTGAGAAGTTTTTTTTTTTTCTCTCCCCTTAAAAATCATTGTTTTCAGATCTTGCTCTGCAGTGGGGAGAATTATAAAAGGTTATTCCCATGCTGGCCTGATTGTTATCTTCTGTACCAGCTCCATCTAAAAATGCTTTTTCCCCATTTGGGAGAGATTCTCTGGTGTCTACAGCTAACAGTAAATGAAATTTAGTGAAGCTGGTTTTGTATATTGCCTGGCTATACTGAGAGCAAGAAATTCAGTATAAGGCCTCTAAGTCGTCCCTTCCTTGCCTCTTCCACTGACTGTGGTCAGTGATCAAGCATTTAACACACACTCACCTTTAAGTCTTGAGAATAAGCAGTACTGGAATTCCTCATCAGCCCCCCAAATGTTAGCTCACATGCATCCAGAACTTTTGGAAAAGTAGTTTGTTATAACAGGTTTAGTGTATCTGTTTCTGCTAGATTTTCTCCTCTCTGGCATTCATGTAGCAAACTGAATTATTGAGCATCTTCTGTTTGCCAGATACAAGGGATATAGCGAGAACTGGCATATCCCTTACCTCAAGCGACTGCAGAATAGGGACCTACCATTAACAGGCGAACAACCATTATGACTTGTGTCAGAGAAACTTAAGGCATGTTTAACAGCCAAGCACTGCACTTCCTGTCTGTAGATGCTTCTCTTCTCTTCCCCTTCCTTCCTTCAAAGAGAGCTGCAGTTTCCGTTGCATTGTGAAGACTTGGTTTTCTTGTTCCTATTCCAAATTAACTTCAGTGCCTGGTCTTTCAACAAATGCATCAAACATTACAAAATCCGAACAACCTAATAAAAGTCTTTTCTAAAAAATTGGAGCTGTGACTAAAAACAGCTTCAGTCTCAGCTTCTGCCCAGTTCTCACTCCCCTGACTACAATTACCTGAGGTATTTGATCCCTTTAATTAGGATCCCTTCATTCTTCTTTTATCCCTCTATTCTGATCATTGAAAGAGCTTTAGCAGTGACATGTTCCAAAATTGGCCCACAAGATGGTACCTCCCCTGAGGTAACAAAGTAGGGTTTAGAGAACAAGGGAGAGAATAAAGAATTTGAGACAATGCAAAATCCTTGTTTTACTTCTAAACGTTTTAGTACAAAATGCAGCCTCATATCATGTAGAATGAACTTTTGGGAACCAACTGGTCTACCATTTGCCTTTTTCTTTGGGCCATTTTAGGAACATGGAAATATATGCCCTAAGTGAGATGGCGTGCAGTTTTCAATGGTGAACTTCATTGACTGCATTTGTAACCTGAGACCCCCAAATTCTTTCTACTTTAAAGCTTATGAGCAAGAAGTACATGTTTTTGGTATATGAGCTGTTACTGGTCTGAAAAACAGTGGCATGAACTGATTTGGCTTTGTATTTTTTTTTTTTTTAATATATATATTTTATTGCATTTTAGGTTCTGGGATACATGTAAAGAACATGCAGGATTGTTGCATAGGTGGCTTTGTATGTTATTTAAGTGATACCTACATTCCTTAAAATTAGGCAGATGGTCTGTCTGCCTCTACCTTTCATGTTGATGGTTAAGGGTTCTTGATTTGTTCTTGATGCTTAAGGAGGGAATAGGTATCTATATATTGTTAGTACTGAAGAATTTTTGGACTTGGCCTAGACAGACTTAAAAGTGTTGCTTTTCTTGGGCTGAATACAGAGTTTAAGTATCTTATCATCTATGTGTAGTGGGGGCTTTTTACAATTGTGTTTTGTCTTTTGGTGGGGAGAAGGGTGGTATGGGAAAGTACAGAAATGGAACTAATTGAATCTAGGGGTAAAACACTGCTGGGAGCCCGTGGATTACAAATCCAGCTGCAGCTCAGGCAGAGGTATGGGAGTGCAGTCACTGGGACAGGAGGCTCATTTTGGTGTTCTTTCTATGTCTTGTCTTGTCCTTGACAATGACTCCAGGGGAACGAGTACGGTCTATAGAAAGGAGAGGTGTCCATAGTTTTCCTGTCTGAAAAACTTTACAGCATTCCTGCCTGGGGTCTTAAAGATTAGGAAGGAAGATGAAAACTAGATGAGATACTCTTGCCTCCTGTTCCTCTCCCCACTGTCCACCCCCACATCTGCACTGAGCCCCACTTTATCTGCTAGCTAGGTATGTGGTTAGGAGATAAAGCCTGTTTTGTTGTGAAAGTTCCATCAAAACTGTCGTTTTGTCTCCCCCATGGTTTGATCAACAAATTGTGTTGAAATTTCAGAGAGCATTATTTAAAGCAGAGGTATTGAATATTCAGTAATATTGAATATTATTAATTTGCCTAAATATAGAAAATAAAATCACAATTTGTGGGCCTGGGCTCCTCACTGTAAGCAGAGGAATGGACTTAGTGACCGTCTTTCAGCTTTAAGACTGAGTAACAACATTCTCCCTTCCATTGGGAAACTTATTTATATCCCAGTAGTCATCTTCACACTAAGTTTTTCCGATATGGCCTCCAGATTTTCTTTCCCCTAATAATTACACCCACCCCGTTTTTAGGCTAGGCGTTCTCCGTCCTTTCTTGTGTTTACACCTTTCAAATATTTGCAGATTGTTATCGTGTCACCCACTTAGTCACCGCTTATCTGAGCTGTACAAATTTAGCACCTTTCATCTTGCCTTTAAAGGCAGGCCTCCACGCCCCTGAGTCATTTTCCCCTGCTCTCTTTAAGGGTGCTCCAGTTTTCTGCATTTCCATGTGGCCACATAACTTCCTAGAACTGAACACAGGTCATGAGTGAGAATTGTTTTCCTCCTTCGGTGTATCAGAAGCTAAACATTTCTGCTGTGCTTCAGCCTCAGGTCTCTCTGACATAAGCTGCTCAGTGTTGACCACTTCAACTCTCATTAAACCACTTCTCCAAATGTGCCAATTTAAAGACCAGTGGGGTAAAAGGGTATAGCTATGCTATAGCTTTTTTAATCCTTGAAGTGTTATGCAACCATGGGAAAGTGGGATGTGTGTAGTTATGGATTCTGTTGGCCCCTCTCCTGGCATTTGCATAAAGCACCTCTGTTCTCCAGGTGCCTCAGACTAGACCTCATCTCAGGTCTGCACCCTGACAGTTCATCAACCATCCTCTTCTCTGTGTATTAACTATTTTTCACTAATATTCATTAAACATTTATTGAGGGTTTCCAGTGCCACTGTGTGCTGCATAGTATGTTGGGTGCTGGAAAGAATAAAATCTGAATATGTCACAGTGCCTGCCATAAGATGCAATTTCTGTTTTAGTTTAGTTTTATTTTGATTGAAAGTACCAGATCCTCACAGATTGGCTTACAGTGTCAGTGAGGGGAGAGAGTAGAGGAATATCCATGAAAATCTAATAGGATTGTAGGTAGGGTCAGGTGTCACAGATCCTGGAAACTGGGGTGATTCTGAGTCTGAGATTGCTCCAGGGACCTCACTGTAGATCTCCAGTGTTAATGCCAGTTCATCCCCTCTGCTCATTGCCTTTTTCGTCTGGCTGGGCTTATGTTTTAAATGCTGCTCCGTTCAAATTCCAGAAAGAGACTCTTATTGGCTCACCTGCCATCTACCATTTCTGTTTGAACAGAGCTGTTTTTCCTATTGCTGGCCTAACTGCACATTTGCTACCCTTGAAGTTGGTGCGGTACCACTCCCTCGCCACCCTGCCATTCCCCATCTCCTGCTCTGACTTCCCATTCCCAGCTTGAGGTGTGTGGAGAGAACAGAGGTCAGGGTCATGTGCTACAAAGCACAGCTGCCCAAGGCTGTCTCCTTAGTGAAGAGGGATGTGTCCTGTTAAGCCCTGTGATTGACTTGTCCACTACATTCTGCCAACAGCTTCCTAGCCATACATGCATCTGCCTAACATAATCCAATTATCTATCATGTACTTTTCTTTTTTTTTTTTAATGAGGTAGAGTCTCGCTCTGTCACCCAGGCCGGAGTGCAGTGGTGCAATCTCGCACAGCAACCTCCACCTCCATCATTCCAGCAATTCAACTGCCTCAGCCTCCCGAGTCACTGGGACTACAGGCACACACCACCACACCCAGCCAATTTTTGTATTTTTAGTAGAGGCAGGATTTCACCATGTTGGCCAGGCTGGTCTATCCTCAAGTGATCTACCCTCCTCGGCCTCCCAGAGTGCTGGGATTACAGGCATGAGCCACTGTGCCCAGCCATGTACTATTTCTCAACATTCTGCAACATACAGGCCAAATGGCAAATCCAGTCACCAGTAACATATCTTATACAATAGTAGAGGAAAATACTCTTTCCTAGCTGGTAATTAACTTCATGAGCACAAAGTGTTTTCATCATTGAATCCTCATCTTCCACAGCAATCCTCATCTTCCTGGCCCAGGGTAGACATTGGCAAGTATTAGTTAAACTGGGGTGGGGGTCTGCTAGGTGAGCTGGTGGATTTTTCAGTATCCTCCGTGGACACAAGGCATGTCCTGCATGCCTTCTGTGCCCTTCCCACTGTGCTGTCTGATGCAGTAGTGAGAACACAGTGGGCGTACTGTAGACACCACTGACTAATCCTTCAAACTGTTTATTGTTTCCACTTGAGTTTTGTCTCCTTCAGCTAATGCCTGGTCTCTTACGCCAGAATAAATGCCATTGGGAAGCTGTCACATACTTCCAGCCAAGGCCAATTTGTCACACTTCCCTTAGCTCCCACTGCCCAATAAAGAAAAAGTGAACACATTTTGAGTCCTGAGGCTTAGTTATCATAAAACTTGACAAAAAGTATAAAATACTCAGAGCGATACATAGTTTCACGTAGCCATCAATAGAATATCTTACAGAGCCCATTATCTTGTCATTAACAAGAATTTGTACTTCTTGTTCCAAAGCTGTCTGACCAGAGTGTTTGTGTTAATTGACCTAGTTAGTCAATGTCTCTAATTGTATAATTTTTTAATAGAATGATTGCTCCATAGCCCAGCATTTTAAGTTTGATATTTTGTACTCCATGAGTCAAAGCTTGGGTGAGGAATCACAAAAGGGCATAACCAATGGGAAGATTTTGTGTCCAGAGAAGGCCTTGCATATCCGTTATTTTATAAACAGAGACAATGAGGCCTGGGTAAGTTTAATAATCTGTCAATGACAGAGCAGAAACCAGCATCATGATGTGCTGATGGCGAACAATGAATTTTGTCTTCCTAAACTACAAAGTCAAGCAAAAACCTCTTTTTATTTTATTTCATTTGTTTCAAATAGCTGTGAACAACCATTCATAACCCAGAAAGTCTAGAAAAGGTGTGAAAAATAATGAGTTTTTACTTATAGGTAGATGGACCTGTAGAGTTTGAAAGAGGTCAGGAGCAGGAGCCGCATGGAGCAGGAGGTGGGTCAGGCATTTGTCTACCTGCCTCTCCTGTGCCTGCCCTTGTGGAAGTCAGCGAGTCCCCCCTGGGGAATCTGTCTTTGTTCTGGCACACCCCATAATAGGGAAGGAAAATGCTCAAGAATTCTTGGGTTTTTTTGTTTGTTTGTTTGTTTGTTTTTGGTATAGTGGTTTGTTTTATTAAAACAAAATAATGTGTTTCTTTAAGTGCTTGTTTCAGAGGTGAGCTTGGTACTTCACTTGCACCTGTGGCATTTGAGGCACGGCTGAGTTAATATATCCTTATCAGCAGGCAGCACTGCCCTGGTATGTTATCAGAAAAGACAGCTATTAGTGGTAACATGCAGGATCCAGCCAGGCACTTCCTCAACTGGCTGGGGAGAACTTCTGCAGCTCCGGTGATATCTCACTTCGTATTTACAGTCCCCGGCCCTCCGTGGCTTGGGAGCACTCCATTGCTGCCTATCAGCCTGCCCAGCTGAGCATCAGCAGCCTTGGGTTTGCTGAGAACTCAACTTTCTTTCCCTTTATCTGTTTTCTTTAACTTTTTTTTTTTTTTTTTTCTAAAAGTCCATTTTATTGCATCACCAGCCCAGCAGTGCAGGCATTGCTTGAGGAAAGGTGCAGCATGGATTAGGCTGATTTGCTCCCTGAGCTCTTGGGAGAGGAGGGCACAGCAGGATCCTGCTCACTGGCTTTCAGCAGCAACTGACTTTTTGGCTTTAGAATGTTAACATTTGTGTGGTCTCCTCTCTGTCAATGGACAGCATACTTTTTGCCCTGTTCCTTGGTCTCTCAGTACACAAAAGGAGGTCTAGAAACTGGATAAACTCTCAGTTGGAACTGTTTTTTAACTCTGCAAGAAAGCCACCAGGGCCTGTCCTGTCCTTCCAGCCTTCTGTCTTTACACCTCAGTCTGTACTAGTGATTTTCAAACTGAGTGTTTGCCCAACCAGAGGTCTTAAATCAATTCAGTGTCATAAACATTTTGTTTTTTTCCTTAACGAAATGGTGAACAGAAGAAAGACTGTCAGTATAACATACATAGTCAAGATTAACCATTGTTTTGTTGGAAACTTAATAATTGCTAAGCTGGCCTCCAATAACAACCAACCCCAAATAAATAAATACATACATAAATACTGCTCTGCAAAGGTAATATCAAGATGACAGAGAAGAAAACGTCAGGAAATGGTCTTCCTGCCTAACCAACTGCACTGGCAGAATCTGCCTGATGTGACTATTTTGGAACTCTGGAGTCTATTGAAGGTTTCTGGTTTCCAGCCCTTATATACAGGTGTCTAAACCCATATGTAAATGTGGATGTGGGTCATAGTCAAAATAAGTCTGAAAAACACTCATCTACAGTATCTTCTATCCATAGATGTAGCTTGGCTCGGCAAATTTCTAACACTCAGACATTTAGATATCATAAAGCCGGTCCTGCTCTCCCGGCCTTGACTTTGTACCTTAGTCTGGGAATAGATTCTGCCTCTGCCTGACGGGAATGGATGTGAATGCATGTTTACTTATTTCTACTTGAAAAAGGACACAGAAGCAGCCTACTTCAGCTTCTTACTTTTGTTGCGCTGGGGCTCAACTGCTGGGAAGTGGACTAGCAACATAAAAACCAAAGGCCCTTCTTTGCCGCTGTGTCTACGTAGAATGGTTGGGATTTGGTTTCCAGAGGCCCAAAGGACTATCTCATGAAAAGTGTTTCGAATATATTTCTGCTTGATGTGTTTAGCTTCCTGGGCCCACTGAGCCATCATGTTTTCTCAATTTAATCACTTGGTGGTCTCCAGGATTCAGAGCGCACTTTTACAGCAGTCTCCCTAGTTTGACCAACCTCGTGAGATTTCAGAATACCAAGAGAGTGACAGGAGTAGGATGGTACTCAATAAGTGAAGCTCAGAAATCTTTTGTGCCCTCATAGTGAAAATTCAGCCCTTTAGCTCCTGCTGCCCAGCGCGGTACCCCAGCTACATCCCAGTTCTAGTCCCCAGTTCATAGCAGCCCCACTCAGCAGCACCCCAGTCCTGTCCCACCCAAATGGCTGCTAAGAGTCAGAAACAAACTGAACACTTGTTTTAGAATTATGCCTGTTTCTGCAACAATGCTTTTTCTGTGGTTATGTGGCAAGATTGTTCAATAGAATTGTTTATTTTTCTCTCTGACGATTTTGTTCTTGCTTAGTTTGCAGATATAAAAAGAAGAGTGTTTTTGGCTATTGATGGTGTAAAAACCACGGGCCATCTTTCATTCCATTTTTCTCTAGCCTCATCTCTCCCTGCAGGGTTAATCTTGGGCTCCCTGGCTCATGAGTTTATTGCTGTCTCTTACAAAAATAAGTTCCACTTCTCCCTTATAGGCTGGCACTGAAGTGCCAGGAAGGAGGCAGCCCTGGTGATCTTAGCCATGTGACACTTGGGTGGGGCCTTCATCTGTCTCATGTTTGCAAGGGTGGGAGAATGGGCCCTGCTGCCACCTCAAGCTGCTCTCCTGCTGCAGTCTTTCTCCTGGCCTAGCATTTTATTTGATATGGTATATTCCATTTGTAAGGCCTTAGGGCTCAGAGAGAAAGCTCCGTTCTTCATCTTCTGAAAGCCCAAGATATAGCCTATTCCCTTTCTTCTGAGCTTTGTCATCTTGAATCAGTGCCCAGGCCAGAAACATGAGCAGCACGGCACCTAGCTTTATTCGCTCACAGAGCTGTACCTTCTGTCCTAGCAGCAGTGGGACCTTGTCTCCCCCAACCAGGTGTTTGCCATCATTGAGACACCCTGCTTCTGCTGTCCCTATGCCACATCTCTTGTACATTCCCTTGAGGCTGTTTGTAAATTAAAGCTAGCACCTCTTAGTTCTGCCTTACTGCAGGAGGAGAGACACAGATACTCCATGACTCCTCCCCCAGATGTTCATCATTTTCGTTTCCTATGTCCGTAGCCCAGTTCCACTTTCTGTGGAATTATGTGAGTAATTATGTAGCCTCATAATTACAGCTACAGTGCAGATTTCTTTGAAAATATTTGTAAGTCTCGATATCAAAATGTAGTATATTTCATGGTCTGTCACAGATGACCACTGTTAGTGGTAAATATACTTGCATAATTAACAGGTTGACTCAAAGAAAGGCAGTCTCATTTGGTTAGTGAGCACTTTGCACAGAATACTGTGGTTGGATACAAAAAGAGTATGAAGGATAGGAATACGAAGGATAGGAGTCTGTCTTCAGAGGCAGATTGGTTGTGGGGGTCAAAGAGGATTTTGAGGTTCTGAGCACGGGACTTGCTAAGAGTGATAACGATGATACAGAATAATAACAGGATATAGTGAACCTCTGCATGTGGCAGGCATCATCCTGAATAACCTCTCCTAGTTCATACAGCAACCTTAAGCAGTGGATATATTAAAATACCTGTTTGACAAGTAGGGAAACGAGACTTTGTGAGTAATTTGGTCAAGGCCACACAGCTGATAAGTGATAGAGTTGGGATGTGAAGCTGGGTCGTTTCGGCTCCGGGCACCTAATACTTCATCAGTATTCTGAGGTGTCTGCTTTTTTTTTTTTCTCTCATCCTGAATGAAAAGCTGATGATACTATTGTCCAAAATATAGCCAGAGTTCAGAGGGGAAGCTTATTTGAAGAGGAAAGTGACACTGAATTAACCCTTTTGAATTTGTTGTAAAAGTCAGATAGTAAGGAGAGAAATGTCCAGGAGTCAGTGGGCATGGCGCTTAGGAGGCAGAATGGCTGGAATATCAGCAGGTGTGGGAGCCATTTCTATAAGTGATGGCTCAAGCTGCAAGACTGTGGGACTGTACGTTAGAGGAGTGCAGGATGAGGAGTTCCTGCTCATCTTATTTGGAAGGCTCCTTTCCCCATGTGCTCTTCATAATTCCCAGATGCTGTGACTGAGAGCCCCTATCCATTGGTGCTGCTGTGATAGTGTTAGTTTCTTCTACCTGGAGAAAACTAAACCCCTCCTCCACTTCTCCCATTGACTCTGTCTTCGTCTCAGATAGAAGGGATGGAAGTTAGATGTAATGCCTGCTGGTTCGTTGGAGGTGTCAGGGGACTGCCCTCATTGGACAGCAGGCCTAGTGGGCACCTTTTCATCACAGATTCTCCTTTTCTCCTGACACAGGTATTGAATGCCCCAGAGGAGCCCGAAACCTCCCAGGCTTGGTGCAGGAAGGAGAGCCCTTCAGCGAGGAAGCTACACTTTTCACCAAGGAACTGGTGCTGCAGCGAGAGGTAGGACATCTTCCTGTTGCTTCTTCTATGAGGAGGGGTGAGAAAAAAAGGCTCCCTTGGTCTGCCATGTCAGAGATCAGCCTGTTGCTTTATCTACTGCTCAGACTTGCACATCCATAATCCATTCTTGTGTCTGCCCACATCTTATTTCCCTGAGCCCTGCATCATTGGCCAGCCACCCCCAGATTGCTCCTCTCCACTGGTGGCCTGGGATGTGTGGTGAACACCAGGCCAGCCAGGCTCCTGATGCAGAGAGCTTACAGCTTTGCATTCCTCCTCCTTGGTGAATTAGCCTGAGCTGCCTGCCTCCAGCTGGATTTAGAAGCTTGACTAACCCTGTCGGGGGCCAGTTTTCTTTGAACATTTATTTGTATCTTTGAGTAATTGCATTTTCTGTAGCAGGTTTTCTGACTTAATTTAATTGTATTTCTGTTTCTGCCTGTTGGGCTGGCTCTTGCAGGCAGGAGTTAGGATCTCAGCTGCTGTGGTGCCCTTCTACCTGCTAATTTTGCTCAAGCCTTCGTCAACAGATCCATCTTCTTTCCAGGAGTACGCCAGCCATTTGTCCTGCTAGGTGGGCACAAGAAAGAACAGCGGGAGCTTTGCTTGACTCAGCCTTAGGATTTTTGGATCTGCCTTTGTTCCCATTTCTTTTACAATCATATCTATAGGGTCCCTCCAGCTTTCATAATACTCACAGAGGTACAAGATTATAGGGTCCCAGAGGCTGTCTCTCTAATGAGTCTTCGTAGATCTTTGAGAGCAGATGCGTGTACTTCTTTGGGATGCTCAGTGATAAAAATACCTGTTGATAAGCTTCAGCCTCTCAAGCTGATCTGAATTGCTAAGAAATATATCAGGCGTGAGAGAACAGGAGAACACTTGGCAGTCCGAGATGCTTATGTTGAACTATCTTGTCCTTGAGAGAGGTATTACTACTGTTGGTTGCCACCTCTTTTGTATTTCTTTAGTGCTTGCCTTCTCATTTTGTAAAAGAAAGTGGAGTGGCCAAACAAATCCTGAATTCTCAGTTCCATTTCCCAAACAGCTGCAACAATCTGGGTATCACATCTGCTTTGTTGGCTATCCGCACAATGGTTGGAGGATTGGGGGGCTTAATTGTATCATCAGATTCACATTGCCCTCTATTTTATTTTTTACAAAGATATTTTTGTTAAGATGCTTATGAAGATGTTTGCAAAGTAAAAATCCTTATATTGACATAGAAGGTGCTGCCCCGTCCCCCATTCTGTAGTTATACAATGCCGCCTGAATTGTTATCAATGAAAAATAACCCGTGCAAGAGAAGTATTTAGAGAATCCAAACACTCCAGTTGTCTATAAGTGACTGTTGCAATTTTTGAAGTGGCCCAGGGATTAAGTGGATGGGGCAGATACTGTAGAATTTCCTTCTAATTTTGCCGGCCTTTGGATAATGAACTGCAAAGTAACTATGTTGAGAAAAGCAAGTGAGTCTGTCCAAATTCATAACTTAAAGACATTGCCAAGGATGCAGCAAGAGATTTTTGTTTGTTTGTTGCGCTTTGGATGGAGGAAGGAAATCCTTTCATTGGATTGCCCAAGACGTTTGTTGGTGGCATTCTCATCATTTACTAAGTCAAATTTCTCACCATTGTTGTCTTCTGATTGTTTCACATCTCCTAAAGTTTCTTTCCCTTTCTTTTTTTTTTTTTTTTTTTTCCCCCCCGAAAGGGGTTTTTCGCTTTTTTTCCCCAGGCTGGAGTGCAATGGCGCGATCTCGGCTCACCGCAACCTCCGCCTCCTGGGTTCAGGCAATTCTCCTGCCTCAGCCTCCTGAGTAGATGGGATTACAGGCACGCACCACCATGCCCAGCTAATTTTTTGTAGTTTCAGTAGAGACGGGGTTTCACCATGTTGACCAGGATGGTCTCGATCTCTTGACCTCGTGATCCACCCGCCTCGGCCTCCCACAGTGCTGGGATTACAGGCTTGAGCCACCGCGCCCGGCTTCTTTCCCTTTCTTTTTCAACTGTTGTATTCCCAGCCACCTTTCTTCTTGATTATATTTCTGGCCCATCATGAGATCCAAAAGTACCAGGGGGTCAAAGAGAATACTGACCACTAAAAGGAGTGCGTGGCCCAAAGCTCTTTTACTCTCCCATAGTTATTGTGAGCTTACCTTTGTCTTATACTTGCTAATAATACTTGACTGTTGAAAAAGATAAAAATTTTCCCCAGTTTCTTTGAGGAAACTCTTTGGTGCTTTTGGCATGTAATTGAGTTTGCAGATCCTTTCTCCAATCCAGAGTTGATCTTTCTTGATTATAATGGCCCAATCTTTCATATCCCTAGGTTGAGGGTCTCAATAAGAACCTTTCTGCATTTTCTTAGATGCTTATATGATCACTTGGGCTGGCTGTTTTGAAAACTCTTTTTACTGAGAAAATGTGAGTATGGACTAAACTGAATAATTTAAAATTTTGACTAAAAGTTCCAATCATTGCCTACTATCCTGAACATTTCCCTTTTATTATGTATGAAACTGTTTTCTGAACAGTGTAGGAATGGAGAGGATTGTTTTGTTATAGGCTTATTCATTTACTTTTACCTAGGTAGTGCCTCCATTTTTATTTCATAAGTTGTCTTGAGGAATGCTTCTCTTTGTTCTACTCCCCTGACCCCACAAAGATCTAGTGGAAGAGGAAAGTCCCAATGCATTGGTACTCTTGGATGCAGAGGTCCTTCCTGCCCTCAGCAGAAGTCCTGAGCAAGGCATGGATGCCTGAGTATGGACCCACGACCTCCCACCTCATGCAACTCTTACCTTCCAGGCAGCCTCTGCCGTGCCCACAGTGCACAACAGTGCAAGAACTCTCCTGGGGCTGAGCCACTGCTGAGATGGCCAAAGTTGAACTGGTTTTTTGCACCTTCTACCTGTTGCCTTGATCATGGGTTTTAGCTTGGATACGCACTTATTTTTTATTTTTATTTTTTTTAGACAGAGTCTCACTCCGCAGGCTGGAGTGCAGTAGCGTGATCTCAGCTCATGTAATGTCCACCTCCCGAGTTCAAGCAATTCTCCTGCCTCAGCCTCCCGAGTAGCTGGGACTACAGGCACGCACCACCATGCCCAGCTAATTTTTTTTTTTTTTTTTTTTTTTTTTTTTTTTTTTTTTTTTTTTGAGACGGAGTTTTGCTGTTGTTACCCAGACTGGAGTGCAATGGCACGATCTCGGCTCACCGCAACCTCCACCTCCTGGGTTCACGCAATTCTCCTGCCTCAGCCTCCCGAGTAGCGGGGACTACAGGCGTGCACCACCATGCCCAGCTAATTTTTGTATTTTTAGTAGAGACAAGGTTTCACCTTGTTGACCAGGATGGTCTTGATCTCCTTACCTAGTGATCCGCCCGCCTTGGCCTCCCAAAAGTTCTGGGATTACAGGCGTGAGCCACCACGCCTGGCCATAACCAGGTATTTCGAAGACGTGATTGTCCTTGGCCCTGCCCCATCCCTTCCCTTTAAAGTTTTAAATTTTTGTTTATATCTTTTCTTTGGTCAGAATTTCTCTATCTCCTGCATGCTTTCCTTGGTTACCGTAAATCTGCATTATCCTAGGAAAGATGAAGCCCACAGATTTTAGGATTTCAAAGTACTTCCTGGGCCCCTTCATGTGATCCCGCAGAGGCCAGGTCATGAAGTTGGACTTCCCTATGTGAAACCATAAACTGACCGGAGGAAGATACAGAGAGGAGAGGGGCTGTGTAACGGTGACTGCCCCTGGGCCAGCTTTCTACCAGGGAGAGGACAGGAAGCTGGCATGCAGGGTGCCTGGCACTGATAAAATGATGCCATATTTATAAGTGCATTGTCCTGGCTTTAGGTGGGCCATGCAGGAATTCCTGCCTGAATTATAGTCTTTCCATCTTATATCTTCATGTGGAGCTCTCAAGCTTTAGACAAGTCTTTTATCTCCATTTCCAGGTGGCTCCGATTATCTTGAGGCCTCGTATTGCTGCTTTCCTTAAATTTGTTTTACAGTGACCCTAGTCAGCACAGAGCTACTGACATTTCTGGCCACCCCTCAGCTCCTTTTTGTGACTTTTCTCCTGCCCCCTTACATTGCATTTCTTCTTTTACACCATCATTTTACATGTTGCTCCTCCTTAGCCATTGGTTTCTGTTGGCTTTTACTCTTTTACCTGAGTTGGAAATCTGGGAAGACAGTCCAGCTCAGTGGTCTGGCCATTCTGGTGGTGCTGCCAGGCCCAGGACAGGAAGAACAGTAAGTGAGACACTGTGCCATTACCTGGTTTTCTGACCTTGATGGCCA